GATATTGTCAGCGCGTTGTCACGTCAAGCTTTATGACATGAAAACTCATGCTTTAAGTTGATTTCAAATCCACTACTCAAACTTTTTAGAACGAAGCATTTACCAATATGTACTAAATTTAAGACACATGATTGAATTGATAAAATGGCCTTCCCTCACGTAATGAATTTTTGGAAACTAAAAAAACAATTCACCACCTAACAAAATGTGGCAACACATTGAATATGACATGCATTTATATTGTGATTAGTAATTCATTTGACATTATTGTCATAGGAGATAAGGTTCACATGGTACCTGTGTGATTAAAGTTATTGTTAGAGCGTTGTCACGTCAAGCTGTATGACATGAAAAAACATGCTTTCACTTTAAAGGAGTTGTCATTTGGGCAGGAAAGAAGTACGAAGGTTTGAAGAGGGTTTTAAGTAGATTTGAAATATAGTAGTCAAACTTTTTACAAGAACTAAGCATATACCAATATGTAGCAAATGTCTACGAAATGATTGAATTCATGAAATGGCCTTCACCCACATAATGGATTTTGAAAAAAAAAAAAAAAAGTTTCCGACATAAAAAATGTGGCAAAACATTGAATATAAACTGCATTTATATTGGTGATTATTAATTCATTTCACAATATTTGCATTTTTCTAACATTAGATAAACTGGTGTCCATCGAGGTCAGGACACAATCGACCATCAACGCACCAAAGTCTGCACGATCCAGTGCACAAAGGACACTTGCAACAACTAAAGCAATTGAAGAGATTTGCCACATTTGACCAAATCTATGTCATCTGTAATTGAAGTCGTAAATACATTATCAATTTACTAAATACTAATTCATTGAATATTACATTGATTCCAATTCAAAGAAAGTAGCGTGGAACTAATATGTAAACAAGACAAAAAATTACTGTCGAATCGATCGGATTCTCGCTGGACATTTTCTCTTATCATGCCCTATTTGCAAACACAAACTACAATGGTGCAATCCACTTTGTCTAGAAGTATCAATTTCGTTATGGATGCGGGTATGTTGAGGACAACATGTTTTAACTTGACGTTGTCGATCTGAAATAGCAAGCAAAGTTGGGTAATCCTTGTTAGGCCAATATTGCTCGTGCGGCATGGGCCTAAACTTCTGCGCGAAGATACGCTTGTGGACTTCCAACCTATACTCTGGTGCAACGAAAGGAAAAGGGTCCTCACCTAAGTCTGCTGTCACAGCAAGCATGTAGGAACATGGCAAGTGAAATAATGTGTACTTCTCACATGAACAACTTGGTGGTCAGAGACTAACTATTTGATGAGCACCACCCCTCATCCCATGTGGTGTTGTCCTCACCTCATATTCCCCTATTCCCCTGCAGAAAAAATGTATGTACATGGATTAATATGCATATATGTTTAAATATAGACTGACATCAATGACTGACAAGTGCGAAATGTTAATTTGTAGTGAATTTGGTGCATCCAGTAAAAATTACCTATTAATCGGTACCAACATATGCACATTCGCTTTAGCTTGGTGCTCGTCAATCCATCGTTGAACATTAGTCGTGTACAAGTGACCCCGATTACTTGCATTTTCAGCAATGGTCCTGCCCTCGTCAAAATATTTGACGAGTCGATAAAAAGTTATCTCAACTGATACTGTAATGGGAACACTACGTGCACCTTTCAGTACACCATTGAAGCCCTCTATATGGTTTGTCGTCAATATGCCCCAACGACAACCACCATTATGGCACAATGTCCAATGAATAGGGTTCATCCGACTAAACCACCGTTCAACATTCTTCTTGAGCTTGTAGATATCGTCCATAATCTTGTTAAACTTCCGCACTTGCCGTGCAGAACCAGCTCTCCACACAAGATCCTTCGCTATTGTATTGCCAAATCTGTCATTGAAATTGCTACATACGTGTTGTAAGCAATACCTATGGTACCCTTTTGGTTGAACTGCTGGATTGTCCCAAATTCTTGACACGACACTAAGCAAAGCTGTGTGTCGATTAGATATCAATGTCACCCTCTCTCGGTCATGGCACACATGTCGCCTAAGTAGAGTAATGAACCAACCCCAACTCTCAATCATCTCATTGTTAACAACGGCAAAGGCAAGAGGTACAATCTTGTCCGCAACAGTCACTGCAGTGGCCTCAACAATCTTCCCTTCGTATTTCCCGTACAAGTGTGTGCCGTCAATGCATATCACTAGACGACAATACTTGAAGCTTTCTATTGCAGGTTTAAATGCCCAGAACACATAGTTCATGTACATTTCAGTTCCGATTGAGGTAGAGTGCAAATTCGGAATCATGTCCCACATGACAACTGTGCCTGGATTGAATGCCTGCAATGCAGCCATATATCCAGGCAACCTTCGGTACGACTCATCCCAGTCACCAAACACCATTGCAACTGCTTTCGTCCTTGTAAGCCACGCTTTCTTATATGATATAGTGAATTGAAACTTCTCCTTCACGACCTCAATTATGGTAGCAATAGGCAATTCTGGTGATATCTGCAAATATAAATTCTATTTGAATATATTACAGTCATAATGAAATCCTAAAAACAATAATCTAACATGTCACTTACCGCAATTTGTGCCTTGATGAAATGAGCAATGACCTCGGACTTGAGGTTGCAATTGTCCCTATTCATTCTAGGGTACACACACTGATGCGGCGCTTTAAACCTTCTAATTTGAAAGAAATCTTTGTCTTTCAACTTCGTTGCCCGAACCCTCTAGTTGCAGCCGTGCTTGCACTCAGCCACCCAACTGTTTCCTTTGGATTCTACGACCTTGCTCGGCTGAATCAGAAAAGTTCTTCAGCAAAAGTAATTCACTTCTATTACATTGACAAAAAGAGTATCACATTCAGAAGTGTAGGGGAAACAAGTTCTTCCTCAAAAAATTACTTAAGAACGATAAGAATATAATAGTTTGAGGTTAGCTGCATTCCATGGCTGGGGTACGCCTTTGCCATCCAAATCTTCTAAGTGGTATGCCCCCTTACCCGCCAGACTGCTTATCTTGTAAGGCCTTTTTGTCTATTGCCACCAGGGTTGTCTTCGCGGTGGACGCCGCTGTATCATCCTCTACTCGGATGTGCTCATTGATTCGCTGCATTAGTTGCCCCATGGATGGCGGCTGGTTCATTGTAAGCGAGTCCCTCAGCCTATGTCCGACCGGGAGACCGCGCTTGTATTGGGTGATTGCCAGGTTGACCGGGCAATCCAAGATCTCGTTGAAGGTTTCCCAATATCTGGAGTTGTGGGCCTTCAGTGTGTCGCTCGGCTCCATCTTGACACTGATAAGGTGGTCAACTTCCTTTGGCGTTTTGGTGTTTGTTTTGAAGCGCGTCACAAAGGCTTCGGCCAACTGCTGCCACCTTTCTATGCTTCCCTCCGGCAGCCTCTCAAACCATTTCAAGCCCAGCTCGCCTAAACTTGACGGGAAGATAAGGCACATAAGAGCGTCATTCCGCCTATGTCCGGCCATGACCTGTAGGAAGTGGCTTACATGCATATAGGGATCGGTTTTTCCGTCGTAGAGCGTGAACTTAGGCCGGTGGAAGCCTGCGGGAAGTGGTGTTGTTTCTATCTCCACGGAGAAAGGGGTGGCACTTAGCCTTGCCAAGTCTGTGTCTAGAAGGAGAGGCGCAGCTAGGCGAGGTGGAGGCATTCTGACCTCTTCACTGGCGTGAACCCCATAGGATAGCCGCTGGAACGTCAACATTCTCTGAGCCTCCCGCCGGCGAGCCCGTTCTTTCAAGACTACCTGCAAATCCTCTGAATGAGCGGAGTAAGAGTACCTCGACGTCGTCACTAGACGTGAGGGTAAGTGCTATCTTGCGCGCTAGACTTATCTGCATGCACGTCGGAATCACCAACCTTGTAACTTCTGGTAATAGAAATGGACGGAGTGCGTCGCTGACTCTGACCGCCTGAACGGCGGGGTTGGGTGCGCTCACTGTGGTTTCCCACTCCAGCTACACCCTTCCCCTTAACATGCCGTTTCAGCTCCTCCATCTCCGCTGCCATTCACCGGATGACGGCGTCCTGGTCTTTTAGCTTGTGTTCCAGATGTCTGGCGTGCGATTCTCTCCATCGCCGATGACCGTCGGGACTCCGTGAATGACCATGACTCCTACCGTGTTTATCTCGCGCGTCTCCCGACCCTCCTCTTGGGAATGTCTCCAGGTTCGCCATCGGAAGGATGTCAGGATGCCCCTTTCTCCGTCTACCTAACTCCGGAGTAACTCCGTCGATGGCGGACAACGGAAACTCATCGTTGTTCGCCATAAACGGCGATCAGATGAGCATGGAAGACAAGGTTTTGTCTGCAAAGTTCCCACAGACGGCGCCAATTGTACGGGGAGCAAATATTCAGGCAAGCCCGTACTCCCTTCTTCCAAGCTTCGCTTCTATCTGATCACCTGCGCACACAAAGGCGGTGAGCTACCCGGCGGTGTGTGGCTGGAAAACCCCTCCGACGGTCAAGTTAGAACACACACCAAGGGATAGATAGAGAGAAGGGAGAGAATTGTGTTTAGTGTATGTCTCACCAAATATCATCAGTCTAAGAATGGGGGGCGCAGACTTGCTTATATACCTTCTGCGCCCCAAATCTACTCCAGTGACCTCTCAACACGTGGCACTCCTATCCCATCTGTCAGCATAAACCTTGCTGAGCACCACCTAACCCAACTGCCTGCCCATTCTCTTGGGAGCTCGGCAGCCGGGGAGTACCATCTCGGCCATCGTCTGCCATGCTGCGCTTCATGCCCAAGTATTCCAATAGCTAAGCTCAGATAAGGACCGGACTCGGTGGCATCTCGGCAAAGCCGAGCTCAGGACAACTCACGCTTGTCTGCGGTCGACCTACCTGCCGAGCAAACAGGTACCTCGGTCCAACCTTGCCTTTCCTAGCACTGGACTTTTCACCTGACCGACTTCGTAACCACGGGTCCTTGTAGCTCGGTCAATCCACACGTTGCCTTAACCGAGCAGCTTCCTTCAAGGCCGGGCCACACAACTTGGCCCAACACCTGTTCGGCCCAAATCTGTCCGGCCCAATTCCATATCATTAATCTTCCTCTCAAGCCCTAAGCATACAAATAATTCAGCTTCGACAATGTTGCAAAAACTCAAATAAGGATGTAGCCCATCTCACAGAACAAAAACGTACTTCACTTTGTTCCTTGCAAAATGAAAAATGGTTTACATTGGGGATCAAGAAGCTTATGGTGAAACCAGATTTGTGTGTTGCAGAATAATGACAAAACCATCATCCTAAATTCAGAGAGAGACACAGAGAGGAGTCAAACAACAGATACAGAAGGTGACTAGACTGTAAATGAATTATACTAGTTGGGAATTTATCAGCAGAAGTGCCTCCAAATCCTTGAAGACAGTTGTGGGTGCATCCTGATATTCAGGCAAGAAACCAATTAAAAAAGAATTCACTTCGAAACAGATAAAGAACCAAAACAAAAAGACCACTTCACATATACAGTGCAAAACAAAGCTAGAATGTTGAAGTAAATAGTACACATTTACATGTAAAAGATGACAAATACATCTATATCTTTTATTTGAAATTTTATTCCCCTTCATATAATTGAGGTTACATGAAAATTTTTAATCAATACAATCAGAAAAGAAAATTGTAAACTATATCATAAACAAAAAAGGAGTGAATTGAGATACACAAAAGTGAACTGAGATACAGAAAATTGTAAACTATATCTTACAAATAACAAAATTTGTACCTTTTCAATAACCTAGTTTCAGCAATCCC